TGTGACTTGTATGCTGATAAACGGAAAAAGAGGTTTCCCCAACCATGTTTGCCTCCCTGTTAGAAATATCCAGCAAATAAGACAGACCCCTTTTTCCCCCCCTGAACCACAAGTATTATTTAAGAGTTTCTTTGCTTTTCATATTGATGATATTATGGGATAGTTTACTAAAAGCCATTCCCTGACGGGTTAACTTCTAAGGTTCCTTCCAATCAGTTGATAAGCATTAATAAATGTGCCAAACACTATGCTAAGTGCTGGCTGGGAGTACAAAGAAAGGGAAAAACAGTCAGCCCCTATTATCAAGGATTTCAGTCTCTAATGAGGGAGAAAACATGCAAACAACCACTTACAAACAATATATTTACAGGATAAATTGGAGATAATCTCAAAGGGAAGGCACTGGCATTAAGGAGTGGGGATGAGAGGAGCTTGGGATGTGATGGTTTCCTTCTTGCAGAAGGTGAGAGTTGAGACTTGAAGGAACCAAGGAAACCAGGAAGGGGAGACGTGGAGGGAGCGAGCGAATTCCAGGTCTAAAGGATAGCCAGTGAAAATACACATAAAGATGATGAAGGGCTTTAAAAGTCAAGAGGATTTTATATTCTAGTGACAAGGGGAATGCCTGGATGGAGCTTAAACTCAGGGTGGCATTGTTAGCTCTGTACTTTAATAAGATCACTTTGTCATCTGAGTGGAGATTGGATTGGACAGACTTTAGCATTGAAACCAACCAACAGGCTATTTCAGAAATCCAGACCAGAGAAACAGACATGAAAGTCATCTGAATAGCTATGATAATTGAATCCTTGGGAGCAGATGAGATCACCAGCAAAATAGTAAAAAGGGCAAAGAATAAAGGAAAACACAAGTCCATTTAAGAGGTGTGTGACCTGGCTGAAGATCCAACAAAGGGATGGGGAAGTGGCCAGGAAGATACAGAGAAGAACCAAGAGAAAGCCGTGCCAGGAAAATCTATAGAAAAGGGAGTCTCAGGAAGAGCGAGATCAACAATGCAAAAGGCTGCAGAGAAGTTACAAAGGATGAGCACTTAGAAAACACCATGAGATTTGGCAACTACAGATCACTGGCAACTTTGGGGAGAGTAGTTTCAGTTAAATGATGATGTTAGAAGCCAGAGTGCAAAGAGTTAAGAAGACAGTGAGAGGAAAGGAAGTGGGAAGGAAGGAGATATAAAAAAAAAAACAAACCCCAAACAAAAAAAACAACCAACCAACCAACCAAACAAACAAACAAAAAAACAGCTAGCGGGGATGGGATAGATCAAATGAGGGCTGAGGATGAAGGAGACATGGGTAAATTTGTAAGAATTATGGTAAATTATAATTGATACTTAATGAAACTGTTATTTGTGCTTTATAGATCATAACAGTAGGATTCAGTGCATGGAGAACAGAATGGAGTAGAGCATTAGGTGACAATAAGAACAAATCTTGAATATGCTTGGAGCAAGTTTAGGGTTTCATTACACAACTGACCATTACAATAAATTTATTGTTCTCACCCCCTTCCTATTCTTCAAATTACCTAGACTAGAAGGAAAGTAAAATGAAGGCCAATATTTTAAAATTGACTTTCAAAAGACATGTTTTAAATTTCTAAAAGAGAATTTAGCTAATAGGTTGGGTCTACAAGAGTTCTAGGTCTTCCCCCTGTCCCACCCCCACCCCAAAACCATACCAAAGATTAAGTTTTCAAGAAATAAAAATAAAATAAAAGGCTTCTATGATCTCATCTTTAAATGATCTTTTTTTTTAATGATCTTTAAAACCCAGACATAATTTAGTTTGAGTTTAAGGCCACTATTAAGAGGGTAAAGGGAAAGTCTACATTGACCCTACTGGTGCTTTCTCTTATCTTTGTACTGAAGATTTCAGTCTACTGAGATGTTAAATGAACTCCATTAGTGAATTTGAAGTTTCTGTTCTTTTATTCTCATTCACACAAAGGGTATGATAAAATTTACTTAATAAATACTTGCTGCCTTAATTGATCATTACTAATTCTGTACGAGAGCTGTGTGTCACCACTATAAATTGGTTATCAATAAAATGATTCCATAAACAAATATATTTACTTACCTACTAATAACTGATACCAAAATAACTTAACATCCTCAATGCTGGGCTTTGACAGGTGTTTGTTATTTTCTGCATATGAAATTTTATATCTTTAGAAATTACCCACATTTTTGGATGAAATAGAGAAAAAGGAGAGAGCTTGATATAAAGAGTATGCGTATATTATAATACCTATCATCTTCTAAATCACAATGAAACCTCCCCTCCTCTAGGGCAGGAACAGTCTTAGACTTCAGTGCCTTTCATATAGTACCACCCTGGTGTAGACTCTCATCCCTTCAGGCCTAGATGCTAGGTCTGCCAGCCATCAGTCTGCACTCTAATCCATCCTCCATGCAGACACTAAAGTGATTTACTTAAAGCACAGGGCCAACCAACCATGTCACTTTGCTACTCAATAAACTATAGTGGTTCCCTATTGCCTCTAGAAGCAAATGCAAAATCTTATGGCATCCAAAGCCCATCATAACCTAGTCCCCTCCCACCTTTGTAATCTTTTTATATCTAACTCCCTGCCCACACTCTTTGTTCCAGTAGTACTGGCTTCCCTTGATGTCCAGAGAAGAAGACACTCTTTGTTTCAGTGCTGGACATTTTCTCTGAGCCCCCATGCCTGGAATGCTTTCCTTCCTCATCTCCACCTACTGGCTTCCCTGGTTTCTTTTAAGTTCCGATTAAAACCTGTCTTCTACAGAAGACATTTCATCACTCCTCCTAATTCTAGAGCCTTCCTTCCGTTATTTACTTCCTAATTATTCTGTATATATCATTTGCACATATGCATTTGCTTATTGTCTCCCCACATTAGAATGCAAGCTCCTTGAGGGCAGGACTGCCTTTTGCCTCTTTTTGTATCCCTAGCCCTTAGCACAGCAAATTGAAGGTGGTTTAATAAATGTTTACTGACTGATCAACTGCTTAGCAAATAACTGTTAAATGCTAAATCTGTTCAGCCTGCAAGAAGACTGCAGAAATGTCCAAGTTTAATACTACCATTATACAAAACAGCTTACAGAGTGAAAATAAGTGTAGTTTCTTTGACAAAATGAACATATGTCAAAAATAATGAGACTCTAACTTTTAATTGTTCTCCTTTGAATCTCCTTCATTCTGAATATTATAAAAGCCCCTAGACTAGGATATAAAGGAAAAATGAGATTCTGAGAAATAAAAACATTTGATGTTTTAAAAAAATATCTAATTACACAGAAAGAGGAAACCATGGCCAACAATAGAAAGTTTTCCTCTCAGCTATCACTTACAACCTAAACAGGACTGAAACTCATTAGGTGAAGAGACTCAAACAAGGAATAAGGTAGAAAAATTGTGTCAATGTTTTGCTAAAAATAAGGAATATTCTTCTTAGAATTATAGTCATGCATATATCTGGAAAATCATTTAACAGTTGAAATGTCACTCTGTTGTCTGCTTATGCGTGTGCATATGTGTTTTAGAGGCACATGATGGTGATGTTGACTTTTTAAAAGTTATATAACCCAGAGATCATAAGGCCATTGAAATGAAACATTTCATTTTAATAACACGCTGAAATTTCTTTATGGCTAAGAGTTTGTCCAACCATGACTCAATTGGATTGAGGTATTATCAGAGTTTCAGTGTAACCATCATAAGAATTTCAACAACTGCCACAGATTTTTTAAATGCCTCAGCCTACTTCTTGTTGAAGTAGTTAGCTTGAATAACATCTGCCAATCCAGAAGAAGTCAGATTAAAAGTTTAATAGTTTTTCCCCCCTTTGGGGCTTTAACATACCATCATCGGTAAAATAATACATCTCATAGAATATGTGAGGAATTATGTACAAATAAAAGAAAGATTTGAATTGGTTCTATTATCTGAACCTAAGAGAAAAATCTGCTTTCATTTGTCATAGCTATCATGAAATTCAAAGGTGTAACATCCCACACATAGTGCTCTATATTCTATTTCATATGGTCCAAAAGTTTACTTTATAAGATATAAGCAAAATGACAAGGTTTTTGAGTATTCCAAATATTATCCAGCAATACATGATTTTCTGCAAAATAATTTCTTGATTTTTAAAAAGACAATGGGAGAAATTAAATACTTGAGCATAACCTTTTTTTGTAATGCTGTAACAACCAATATCTTTTAAGCAATGTCAATCTAAAAATAAATGACTAATTATAAATTCTTAGAGTTGTCTAAAGAAAAATATTTGCCCCTCTACTACTAAAATGAACTTAATATGTAACATACCTTGGTATAGTAAAATTGGGTTAGGAAATTTTTTTATCAGGGCTCTCCCACCCAGCTACACTAATATAACTCTGCAGTATCACAATCTGAAGGGAAAATACTCCATAATCTAAAATTGGCGGGCCTATTAAAATGTCTATCCATCTCTACTATTAGTTATTCATTGAAAGATACAGAGCAATTTGAAATCAATTAGTGATCTACTGTTTAAAAGGTCTAACCAATTATAAGATAATTTGTTCTCTAAGAAGCAAATTCAGTCATGGCATCTCAGAGTTGGAAGGAACTGAAAAGGTCATTCATTTTCCCCTTATACCTAACACAGAAATCTCCTCTATAACATTCCCAACAAGTGGTCATCTAGTCTCTGTGTGAAGACTTCCACTAATGGGGAACTCATTACCTACAAGTCAGCCTCATATTTGAACTGCTCTAAAGTTATCTTTCTTATATCAAGAAGGAATTCAATTGGATCATCATTCCTAATTGACCCTTGGGATCAAGCAAAACAAGCCTTATAACCCTCTTTCAGTTGACATCTCTCATTAGATATTTGAAGATAGCTATTTCCCCCCTTTTTTCCCCATCTTTAATGTCTTAGTTTACTTTACAATAATTTCAGCCTGCCCTTTTTTCCCCCTATTTATTACAATATACCTTCTTTCATTGGCTCAGGGCTGGGTTCTCCTTTTAGACTCAGCATTCTGGAGAAGCCACTGGACAGAGTAGAGAAAATACCACGAGTGAAATATCCTTCTTGCTCTGAATTCTCTAACCTTACTGAAGTCTGAAGTGACCTTGCAGCTCTGCTACTGCAATGGGGTGCAGGTTCAGAAAGCGATCGGGTGAAGGGAATCCGAAATGACCTGGTGCCACCAGCTTGGTTCGCTGTTGGTGTTCCATGAACATCATCAGTACAAACATCATTGTGGACTGTTTTCAGGAGGCCCTCAAAAGACTGTGGCTTGTCGTGATCACTTCTTTGACTCTGTGATCTCTTTCTTTTGCTCCCTTTCCACCGAAGGCTGGGATGTGTCTGCCACCTATAAGCACCCAGTGCTTTCCCCAGCTCAGAATCAGTATGCTCATAAGTCCTCTTCTTACTTTTTGCTGGACGGCACCATTGACAATTTTTTAAACCTGTTCCCCCTCCTAAAGGACCACCAGCAGGTTCTGATAGAGATCTCTGATAGCCTGCAGGACGGAGAGCTTTCTGCCTTCTAAAGATGCTCATTTTCCATCAAACAGTTTTTGATAATTTCCCTAAACTGAGTTTTCTTCAACTTTTGCAGCCTTTGCAGTCAAGCCACACTTGTCTGGATAGCTGAAAGCATTCTACTACTTAAGCAGCTTTTTTTGTGTGGCTTTGAACCACAGCAGATGTTGCCGTTTAAGGGCTGGTGTCATGTTATTACCCCTTTTTCCCAGATCTCAGAAAATGTGAGCAGCACCCAAAAATCTCTTGCCCGGATCAAGCTCCATCTTCAGTTTATGAAAACGATGAAGATTTCTAGCAGGCCATTTGCACTTCCTGCCCCGGGGTAAATGCTTCTATACCAGGCTTTCAGGAAATAACTTTTAAAAAAAATAAAGAGTAGTGAAGAGAGACAAAAACCCACAAACACCTTTATGGGCCAATAGTAGTAAAGTTTTTACCATGCAAATGATGGTGGGTTAAAAGCAGAATGTGAAAGTACTTAAACTGACATCCGTGCAAATTCACAAAAATATTCTGTTAAGTCACTGCCCATCACGATGTAGTTCTGTTCATACTGCAGAAGTGCTAAGTGTTGAACAATTTCACTGACATTTACACATAGACTCCCTCTAGCAAAGCTTCAACAGGAACACTGCTCTTTATCAAAACGGAAAAGCTTTTATCTAAACTGAGGAAAAGGTAAATCTCTGGTGAGTCAATCAAGGAACAAGCAAAAAAGGAAAAGAAAGCTATAATTTAAAACAGTAATAATGTAAATATACTGGAAGAATGGAAAGAACACACAAGGCTGGAAGTAGGAAGAGATGTGGGTGGGATTTTTCCTAAGTTTTAGACACTAGCTAAGAAAAGGAAAGTTTTGAGGCAAGAATTTGTGGCAACTGGAACATAGGGATAGACATATTTCAATCTTTTGTAAGAGGATAAAGTTTGTTTTGCAAATCTAATTGGGACAAGTCAAATGGAAAAAATACTCCGATCTGTTTAACCAAAGAAATTGCTTTTTATTCTGCACTCCCTATAACTTCAAAAACAGCTGATTAGTTAAAATTTTGTTAAAGTATTTTATACTTAACCAAGAGTTTATATGCCAAGTTTTAGGCTACCTTAAAATCTTTAATGTCTGCTCACAATCCCCTAAAAACAAGGGATTACAATAGAAAGCCTAACAGATTCAGGACTACCAATAAAAGATTTATTACAAGGACAATTAACTTTACTTTGCAAGTTATATAAATGATACTTTGGCAAATCTGGAAAAATATCCATTCCTTTGCTATAAAGTACATAATTTGTAACCTGGTATATTTATATGTTAAAGCATGTTAAGGGATTTAAGTACTAGATTTCTAAAGAAATTAAATCAACAAAATTATAGTTGTTCTTTCCCCTATTCAAAAAAAGAAAGTAAGCAACAATACAGAAAGAACCCAATTAACATTAATTTAATTACAAAGTTCCAAATTCTCTTCCAATCTTTGCTAATGTACTTATTGTACTTTTAAAAATCTTGTAATCAATGTTCCCCTACATTTATATGAAATATAAAGTCGGTTTTTTCTGACTTCTCATGATGTTCTAGAAAAGATTATATGAATTGATTTTAGGGAACCTATTAATATATTAAATGTATTACAGAGTTTTTTATGTAGGGGAATTCTATTCTGCATAGTGTGAAAAGCAAAACCCTTTTTTACATAAATAATCACTTCTTAATTTAACTATGCATAAATGTAAAATCTTTATATATTCAGTTTGTATACGCCAGAACAATGAAAAGCTGTACTAATTTATTAACATCTGCTTTTGTTTGTGCTACTCTTTTATGAAGATAAGTAATGTGTGTTAACATATCATATGTATTGTTATTTTTGGAAACGGATAAAAGTATTTTCCCCTCTATGAATCTTCAAGCACAAAGCATGTTACAAAGCAAACAGAAAAAGAGTAAGTGACTATGAAAGAACAATGACCACTGACCTGACAGTAAAGATCAGTATGAACGAGAGAAGAGCGAGCTGTAGAAAGTATGCTTGGGGCAGGGGAATGAGGGAGAGGGAAGGAAGGGGAGGAAGGGGGGAAACAAGAAAAGTATTTTAACTGGAGATCTCCATGACTGTTCATAATTGATACTTTTCCATGGAAATTACAGCTGCTCTATTGAATAGTAGAAGGAAAATTTTGGGTTACCTTTCCAAACTAACCAATAAATAGTAGAAAAAAATGAAAAGAAAGAAATCTGTTTCCTTACTGTGCATTGGTGCACATGAGCTTATCTGGTAACATTCAAAGCAATTTTCAAAACTTGAATGAAAATTCTATAGAACTTCTGAATTTCAGGAGCATTCAGAAGCAGCCTCCTTATTAGGGATCTAGACGTGTTAAAGGGAACTTTAAAATGTCATTTCGCTTATAAGGATATGGACATACTTCCATTAAGAACACATTGCTGATATGTTGCTGTCAGTTAAAAAAAAATATAATAAATCCCTTCTCTGAAATGTAAATTTACAAGAATGACGTGCTGTTTAAAACAAATAAAATGACCTTCATCTAAAGTGAGAATAGAATGGGGAAAAAAGACATCCTTAAATAAACTATATGTTAATCTCCAATGCAAGCCAGTCAGTCCTTATTATTAAGACCTAGATATATTCTATGTTCTTTCCTCTTCCTAAATCAACACTCAGTTCACTGCAGCTTCAGTGAGTCTCACCTGGAAGAAACTGGAGTCTTCCAAAGGAGCATTTCATCTTAATGGTTCTCAAGAAAAGCACAATAAATAAAAATATCAGGGCTGAATTTGTAATGGAATAATATAATGGTCCTATCCTCATAGACTAGAAGACTTCTCTTAAAGTCCTTTCCAGGTCAGCAATTCTTAATATCGTAAAGTACCAAATTAATACAAATTTTAAAGATAGTCTTTAAATCTTTTGTTTCCTTGAAGGTTAAATTGTCTTTGGTTTGTTTGAAAATATTTTAACAGTCTTCCAAATCTATTCATGTTACACTATTTGATCATATCAGCCAGTATAATACTCCAGTTGGAGCTCAATGTTAAGAAAACAACTTTTTCAAACTAAGTAGGAAACTCAAGTCTATTGGAATGAATTAGAAAGACAGTGCTGAAGTTCATTTTTCATCAGATTGGAACTGAGTAAAGTGTGATTTCAGAGGAGGGTGTTTCAAACAAAGGAGTCTGACAGCAAGTTCTCCATATAATTCTCACTCTGATCAGGGCATGGACATAGATCTAACTTTAAAAGACTATAATACACCATAAAACACTCACCAACAAGTTCCCATCAAAGACTGTCCATCCATACCTTCAACCAGTACCGTAGCTGAGATCACACATCTATAGTGATATAACTAAGCGATTTTTAAAGCTAAAATGGACCAGTATAAAATAAAAGGAATTGGAAAATGATAGGCAACAGGACACAGTAGCTGGTAGGCACTAACCATGGCTTACTAGAAAGGGTTTTCAAACTAGAAACAGTAAACCTGAGATCTATTGATCTGACTTTAGGCAACTCTTATTTTTTTTAGCCAAATCTTTTCTGTGGAAGTTTCTCCTACTCTAAAATTTGACCTGCCAACTTCATGGGTTTGTTTGAGAAGGAGCAAATGAGATGTATATTTAAAAATTTTGAAGCGTATCAAACACTACACAAATATAAGATTTTTTCTGATATCATCTATACAAATGTTAATGTATTTTCTGATATAAAACAGCATGTAAATTGTAAGCACAACTTTTTTCCTGAAAAGCTGTACATGAATATTTTATAATGTTTCAAAAAAATTAGGAGCCATATTTTTGTAATGCAGATAATTACCATTTTATCATTTCATATTATAAGGTAGTGGCATACATGTATACTTTATTAGTAATAACTTTTTGCATCTAGAACAGGAATTATTACCTTTTTGTCTGTGCTATGGACCCTTTTGGCAGTCTGGTAATCCCATACATCCTTTCTCAGGATAGTATTTTGAGGTGCATAAAATATATAGAATTACAAAAGAACCAATTCTATTAAAACACAATTATCAAAATATTTTTTAAGTTCACAGACCCCAAGTTAAGAAAAATTAAGTAGAATAAAAGTACTTTGGGTAATGACCTTAAGCAATCTATCAAACATTTTTAAATGCCTATAGTGTACAAAGCACTGAGCTAGGTGATATCCTACAATACAAAGACAAAATGAAAAACAGTCCAATCATTAAGGAACTTATAGTTTACATATTAATGATAAAACTACACATTGTTTTAGAGAATTTTCTAAACAATAAAGGAAAAATTCTGGTTTCATGATTTTTATTTGGGAAACAAAAGAACAAACCTAAGAAAATTATGGTAGGATTATAAACTAGAAAAGATGAAGAGTAGGGATAGTACTTGAAATCTGTGATCAGAGCTGCATTGCTGATATAAAATTTAGAGAATTACAATAAGGACACCACCAACATATAGGTGGTATATTTATGTCTATGTATATTAATATTGATCTCTCTCTCTCTCTATATATATATATATGTATGTATATATACATATATATGTATATATATATATATATATATACATATATATATGTATATATATACATACATATATATATACACACACACACACACACACACACACACACACACACACACAAATACATACACATACATATAGTGGGGTAGAACTGATGGGGGATGAGATTGGAGCTGGACCTCTAAAAGGAGCCCAGAGCCCCCGAACCAAGTCTCCAGCATTTGCCTGAGGCACCTGGCCCATCACAGTATAATGCTTTTAAATACCCTTGCAGTGCGGCCCTCATTGTCTGTACCTGGCCCCACCCCAGGCTATTTTGCCACTCCTTAATTCCATCTAGACCCCTACTCTGTTAATTTCCAGTCATCCCAAACTATTGGCCACTCCTGGATCCCATTCAAATCTTCCCACAAAATCTTTTTCTTTTATGAAAGAGGTCAGTCTCATCATCCGAATGCACTGGCTCTTGAAAAGCCTACCCACTTCTACAGGTGAAACAGTAAACTTTGTCTCTGACTGAGAGAACCTGAATTCTTTCAAGGCAGAACCTGCACCTTTTGGGCTTGAATTTTGGTGTTCCCAACACCCCTAGACTGCAACAGAACCTGGGGTGGGAAATCATACTTGAGTTATACAGAATATAGGATTCAGGAACATTTCAGATTTCTCAATGAATATAACATTTTTTTTTCTGAAAGATTTCTAAATGGTCAATTGGAAATGACAAGAAATGGCATAAAATAAAACTGAAAACCAGAA